TAAATGACAGTATTTGTTTCTCTGCATGTAGTTCTTCGAAAAACATTTTTTTTTAAATCATCAAAATAAAGGTTTCTTTTCAGTTGTTGTTTTTTTTTGTTTTTGTTTTTTTTTTTTGCAAGTCTCTTTTGATAATAAACAAAAATACAGTAATTGTAATATAATTCTGAAACCTATATTTCAAAAAAATATCATAGTAACTCCTTAAAGAAAAAAGAACAAAGTCACCCCTTTCCCTCAAAAAACAAAATCATGCGTTTAATTAAGTATAAGAAAGTAAATGTTAATTTAATAGGGCTTCTATTATAGACAAGTAACAAACAATCGATGTCAATAGTAAATCTGGGATCATAGCAATTGATTCTGGTACATGTATTATTGAATTCATTTTAAATGTACCTGGTGTTTTCTTGACATGGGGTTCAGGGTTAAATCTCACTGAGGTCTGTCCAAATGGTGATCTCTTCAGTCCGGTAGTTCTCTTCAGGGTCTCCAGAGCATTGCGGGGGTCATTGTAGGTGCCAGGAGCAGGGAGGGTCTTCTTAATAGGGGTAAACCTCTGAAAACACAAAATAAATATTAAACTCTGAATTTGCAAGAGAATTTTTGTCTGATGAAAAAAATTGATGTATTTTAAAATGCTTCACAGCATATTAGCTCAGCCATCCTGCTAAACTTGTATAAAATAAGTAAACTGAACCTTACATTTATGTTGAATGAGTAAAAATCTAGAGTCTAAATTATTTGATAAATTGTTAGGCATGCAACAAACCTTAGACTGTGACATAAATGGAGGGTGTTCTACTTCTATTCCCTCTGTGTTGACTTTTGGAGGTTCAGGATCAAATCCTCCTTTCACATCATATTTCCCTGGTCCAGGAATGGCCTTTCAAAACATTTTAATTTAATTATAAAAGATTGAAACAAAATGTTGCTGAAAAGTTGTTCATATATGCATTTAATCTTATTAAGTCTGTAAAATGCAAATTACCTAATCTTTATGCATTTTGCAAAACATTCTAATTTTTTTTTTCTTTTTTAATTTCTAAAACCTTCCCAGCCTGTTGTTTAAAGGGAAACAACTCCTACAAGTTACCAATATCACATACCTTCTTCTCCTCTTCTTTGACAATTGATTCGTGGTATCTAGGAATCCTGGCCTCAAACCTATGAGATTCCTCTGTGGCATTAACATTCTCAGCTCTGTTCTGTACATTGGCATAGGGCTCATAGTCCCCGGGACCTGGCCCCATTTTCCCTTTACTGAGGTCCATACGCTTAGAGGCATATTTACTAAAGTGGACACCCTGATATGTCTTGGTAGCCTTTGTAGGATCCTGAAATTAGAAATTTTTTTTTACTTTTTTTAATTACTAAAACAATTACAGAAAAGGAACCTATTCTATAAATTATTAAATAAAATGTCAGTTCTCCACATGTCTGTATTTATTGCAGTGAATAAATGCAACGAAAAGGTCATGTTTTTTCTGAAAATAAATAAGCGAGACCATTAAAGACAATACATGTACAAGTATGTATCTCAGATACTTTAGGATATTGAGACTTTGTCAAGTTAAAAATTGAATGCGATTTAAAATGTCAGTCTTACTGAAGATGGGTTATAGAAGGCTGGTCCTATAGTTTTATCCTTATCAGGAGCATCCTGCTTTTTCAGAGTCCCGTCTTCACATTCTTCGTACCCGTAGGCCTGCCCTGGCATAGGAATAGAAGGTGCCTCTGGTTTCCTGTGGAATTTGATCCTGCTTGTCACCAACTACGAAATTATTACAAAGATATTAAACAACCTTGCAGATATGTTTATTTTTGAAAGAAAATTCAAGATTGAAAGGCTATTTTTTTCATATACATGTACCGATACTGTATACTAAGAAATAGAGGTGTAATGATACAGCAAAAAATCTTTTTATTGATCGCAAGGGCTCACAATATGCATATCATATCAGTAGGTATGTATTTATGATATAGTACAAGTTAATTTTAATTGTCTTAATAGAAAAATCTACATACGACCTTGCAATTTTAACAAATCTAAAATGGCAGAAAACAAAGTAGACAAAAAAGAAGTTTAGACTATGAATCACCAATAATAAACCTTGGTAAACAGTGTTGAGATCTTCATGTTTTATTTTCTATTACTGTAGAGGTAAGCAACACAAAAATATGTAAAGATATCAGTTCATTCTATTGTGGACAGCCGTATTGTGATACATGTTGTATTGCAACGTAATATGTATAGTATCGTTAAGTAGCTTGCTATACTCAGGCTTACTAAGAAATATATTCTCTCCCAGTTTGCTTTTGCCTTCATCATGGCTGAATTTGAACTGAACTGATGAACAAAATATCAAGTAAGTCTGAAGCCAGCAATTAAACCTGCACTGAACAAATTCAAAATTATTTAGTTTGATTTTTTCATTCACATGGAACAAAATACATGTAACGCAGACAAAAATCTTCCGAGCATTAATTAACAGATGTATATACATGTAGTATGAACTTGTTCCCTTGCATTTGTATGGTATGCTAAAACTTATCTCTATTCAAAACCAATAAATAGCAATTGTGATAAATGTCACTTGTAATGTTTATTTCAGATTTTAAGTATATAGGACACTTACACTTCCTGCATTACTTTTGCCTTGAAAGCTGCCTGGGGCAGACTTGCTGGCCCTGAAGTCAGTGTACTTTTCTGTACTGTACGTCCCTGGTCCCGGATTCTCTGGGACCTGGCCCTGGAATCTTTTAGATTTATTGGCCAGAGTTTTTCCTCCCTGCAAAACACAATTCAGAAAGTACTTAGTTGTATAATTCTACTTTTATACAAACTATTAAATAAAAAGGTGAGTTTTTAAAGCAATTTTGTAACACATTGTACAATCTCATTTACATCAATTTCAAAACACTTTTGGAATTCAACTTACAGCAGATAATATGCAACTTAAAAAGTATGTAATAATAATCAAAGAGTTACATTTTAAAACTTAACCAATCAATTTACAAAATATTTACAGTTGAACTTCAGTATCTTGAAAACCGATACCTCCAATACCATGGAAATGTTGAAGTAATTTGGAAGTCCTAACCACTTATTATTTAAATATTTTACCCTTGATATCTTGAATCCTAGGATATCTGAAAGTTTTATCTCGGTCCCATCGAGTTCAAGATAATGAGTTTTGACTGTATTTACTTAATGTGCTTTACCAAAACTAGATCATTGTAAACAAAGCACTGTGTACCTCAATACTTTTCAGAAATCAGATTTTTTTTTTTATTATTTTAAATTCTTCTATCGGGTATATGAAAATACAGTCAAACCGCATTATCTTGAACTCAAGGGGACCAAGATTAAACTTTGAGACATAAGAGGATTCAAGATAACAAGGTTCGAAAACATAAAGAAAAAGTGGTCAGTGCAGCCAAATCATTTTGACACATCCCTTGTGTTTGGGATATCAGTGTTTGAGATAACAAAGTTCAACTGTATTCCAAAGTTTCATTCCAATTACAAAGATAAATAACACCAGGATTGCTCACTATTAAATGAAGCCATTAATACCCCCATCCTTTTCCCATGCTGCTGAAATGCATTTTAAAAATGCAAATTTTAAAAATTGAGCTGCTCAATATAAGATGTATATTAAACTTATATAAATATTATATAATATGTATATAAGATTCATTTCCTTTCAACAGCACATTTTTCACTTTGTAAATGTGAGTTGACACTTGTAAGCTTCACCTTTCCAGTGAGTGTATGACTTAAAATTTCAGTATTCATTGTACAGCATTATGATACTTACAGGAACAAAATCTTGAGCATTTTGAGGATCATAATGACCTGGTCCTGGGGCTGCAACAACCTGATCACTAACATTTAGGAATGTTTCTCGACTTGTCATGGACAAAAAAGGAGCATATCCATCTACAAAATAGTTCATACACAAGGCAATGAATACTGCATACAGTGAAAATTTTGCTTCCATTTTATTTTTGCCCCTTTCACGCACACCTTCACCCCCCCCCACCCCCCCCCCCCACCCCCCAACGAAGGTGGGTGAGTCTGGGCAAATTCAAATGGGGCAAATTTTTTTGCAAAATTATTTGCAGATGTGAAAATAAAACAGGACGAAAATAACCCTGTATACATTTTCATTGAGATTAGAAAAGGTAAACAATACAAAGATTGTCATTATAGTATAAATGTATTACATAAGGCTTATAGTGAGATTTTGAAAGATTTCAACCACATTCGCAAGCAATGGAATAATGCACACACCAGCCTTGAGTTTAGCTCTGGCCAGAACACTAGCATCATATGACCCTGGTCCCACATTTCCTGGAGTGGACCCATATGTCTTCACTAGATCTCTTGGAGCTCTGTCATACATGGTGTTTCACTTCCTCAACTATAGATAGAATCGAACACAAAACTTTGCAAATTATAAAAGCTTTTGTAGTAAAAAGGTCTTTAAAAAAACAACAACAACAACCTCTAAACAATAAGTGATTTTGTAGTGAATTATTAAAAGGAAAAGTGCAAAGATGTCTAGAAATAAATGTTTATTATCTAAAACATTAATGGTATTGCATGTACTTTAAAGTTAATTATGTTCAAGTAACGGTATTCTGCCTTCTGTCTTTTAATTTTTGAGGCAAATGATGTGTGGAATTGCACAATATTGTCAATACTTACCAAAAATTGAGAGAAGTCAACCATTTATCGTGTTGCTATGGAACAATATGGCGGAAAGACTGTACGACTGTCGTAGTATATTCTTCCGGAAAGTTTATCAATTCTGCTTATATTGACACGATAATTAGCAATTCAAAACTATTTGAGTTTAATTAGTAGAATATCAAATCAAGAATATTCAAAAACATGAAATTCACATTTTGGATATATGTCGTAAAATGTTATGTTTACTATTTCGGCAGTTGACCTCTGACCTCAACCGGGTGCTTTGTTACACAATAGATCTTCTGTAGTGAGTAGATAGAAGGTATCATTTACATTAATTAAATTGAATTAAGGGTTATGTCAGCACTCAATCGAAAGGCATGAGTGTTATTCTATGTATACATATCTAGGATCTTTTTGTTATATTTCCTTACAAATTTGCTGAATATTTTTTAAGCCAAATAAAATATGCATTATTTTCAGAATTCTATCAACAATATTGAGTGAGTTAAACATGGGTTTTCAATTTATTTATGCTGTAGTTTTAAACTTTAATTTTCTTAATTTTAGAGATGTCTGGTTCTACTACTGAACCAGATAGGGTGCATTTAGTCACAGGGGGTGGAGGATACCCTGGGTTTAATCTTGGTAAAAAGCTGGCTCAGAATGGAAAGAAAGTTATCCTAGTAGACATCATCAAACCAAGGTGGCCACTGGAGGAAAACATGTCATTTATTCAGGTTACATGGAAATTTTACCAGAATGAGCACATATTGAAATCAATTAAGACATAAATTCTCAGCTTCTTTAAAGTAGCATTTTGAAAGCAATTTTTTTCTCAAATTTAATACTGATAATAAAGCTTGGTTCTCTAAGTTTTCATGAAGTTTATCATTTACAGTGCAATATAGCTCAAGGTCATGAAGTGGAAGAGGCATTAAAAGGAGCAGATTGTGTGTACCACATGGCCTCCTATGGAATGTCTGGGAGGGAACAAGTAAGGTATTTTATCTGTTATTTTTGTCATTAATATCTTAATGAATTCATTCATTCATAAAGTAACATAAATGTGTGCAAATATGCTTTGTGTAAAAACTACATGTTTGATGTGGTAGCCTCACAACTAAAAAAAAGAAAATGTAATCAAATATTTCACAACGCCTTAAAGGTATATGATTGGAATTTTCCATTTTCAGTTGAATACTAAAGTGATAGAGGCTGTAAACGTGGAAGGAACTGAAAATGTTATCAAAGGTAACATTTTAAAACAACTGAAATTTGATTAAGAAAAAAAGTCAAATTTATCTCCAGCTCTTGTATCACACTTCATAGCACTATATAAATTGTGCATGTTTTGGATAGTATCTGATTCAGTTGAAATCAACAACCTTATTAAAAGAAAACCAATTCAACCAATGGGTCAGCAAAGGTTGACAATGGTTTTTTCAGGGGTGTCAATTTCACTTATACTTTTCCAAAACATTCATTTTTTATTTAATTATTCTGAATGTGATGCATAAAAAATCAATTCTCATTTAGTTCTCATTTTGAAAGGATCAGTAAATATCCTGATTTGAAAAATTAATTATACCCCGCGCAACAAGCTAGGGGGTACAATGTTTTTGACCCGTCCGTCAGTCAGTCAGTCCGTCAGTACCCCACGCAACAAGTTGCGGGGGGTATAATGTTTTTGACCAGTCCGTCAGTCCATCAGTCCTGTTTTTTTGTCAGCGCAACTCCTCAAAAACCACCTAACAGAATTTCGTCAAACTTTGCAGATATTTAGGACACAATATGTAGATGTGCACATTACCAGGAAATTCCGCTTCTTTTATTCTTTCTGGGAATTTCGGCACTTTTCAACTTAGATTTTTGGCCATATCTTGAATATACAGATGAACAGATTGTCAGCGCAACTCCTCTTAAACCGCTGCACAGAATTTCGTCAAACTTTGCAGATATTTAGGACACAATGTGTAGATGTGCATACTACCAAAAAATTCTGATTCCGTTATTTTTCTGGGAATTTCGGCACTTTTCAACTTAGATTTTTGGCAATCTTGAATATAGAGATGACAGTTTGTCAGCACAACTCCTCTTAAACTGCTGCACAGAATTTCGTCAAACTTTGCAGATATTTAGGACACAATGTGTAGATGTGCAGATTTTCAGGAAATTCCATTTTCCATTATTTTTCTGGGAATTTCGGCACTTTTCAACTTAGATTTTTGGCCATATCTTGAATATAGAGATGAACAGTTTGTCAGCACAACTCCTCTTAAACCGCTGCACAGAATTTCGTCAAATTTTGCAGATATTTAGTGCACAGTGTGTTGATGTGCATATTACCAGGAAATTCCGATTCCCTTATTTTTGCCCTAAGAGTTTTCCCTATTATTGAAGAAACTTTCCAGCTAGGTAATAAGGAAATCCACTGGAATTAGCTTTTGTAATGAAAGTTTATGTGAAATACTGTATGACCTTAAAAGATCCCTATTGATTTAACACACACACACAAAATCTTGGATAGTTCTCCCCCCCCCCCCCCCCCCCCACACACACACACACACACAATTTGGTGCTTTGCCTTAAGTAATTTCATAAGTACAGTATATAAACAAATTCATATGACTACATCATAATTCTGTTTCCATCAATTATTTAAATGTGTAAATTGTCATGTGTTGGACATGGACTTACACTCATTAACAAATTGAAATCACTGAGGAATTTAAATAACAGTTTGTCAGCATAACTCCTGCACTGAATTTCCTTAAGCTTTGTAGCTATTTCAGACATAATGTATAGATTTGTATATTACCAAGAAATTTTTATTCCATTATTTATCTAGAAACTTCAGCCCAATTAAATTTGTTACATACAAAGATTTGAATGTCCTTATATGCAAGAAGTTTTGATGTGATGATTTTTTGCAAGTAATGCCCCTTTTTGAATTTTACTGTGTATTTAAAATGCACTGTGCCATTCATTACTTGTTGCATTGTCGAGTTTTGGGGAAGCGTGGGGTATGTGAGCTTGCTCACTTTTTCTTTCATTTACCATATTTTAACACAGAATTCACCAAATCATTTATATTAGACATGAGGTTATGTTCCCATATTTGGTATTTTATATTAGGGTGCGAAGTCACATGAATATTATAAGTATTACACGTGTGTTGAAGCGAGAGAAAAAAAATGACATCTTCGAATAAGTATGACACCGTTTTAGGTTGTATATTGACGTTATTGATGCAGATTCTGACTCGGAGTTTTCTGGTTATGTTAGGAGTTTTCTGGTTATGTTAGCAATGACGTTGCCACGGATTCAGACAATGACAATATATCAGGTGTGAGCACCAGGTAGGACGTGAATGTGTCATCATTCCCTAGCCTAAGGCCGTTGCAGACTACAACAACTTTCAAGTTATGGATTTAAGATTGGCAGTTTGGTAGCAAATTCTTTAAAAGAAATAAAATTTTAAAGCAATGTACCCCAAAATACCTGCATTTTTTATGTCTAAATCAATTCATATTTCAGCATGCTTGAAGCACAAGATAAGGAGACTTGTCTACACCAGCACATACAATGTCATCTTTGGGGGCCAGGAAATTCGTGATGGGAATGAGTCCCTGCCTTACCTACCTCTGGACAAAGTAAGTTTTTCAGTGTGAAACTTTATGATATTATATTCATGCAGGGTTCTCCTCAAGACTTTTAAAAAGTTTTTTGTACAAGTGCCACAGTAAATGTCATTGATCCCTGCAAAATGAGCCCTGCTTGATGGAGAACCCTGAATATTTATATAGGCAAAATTGGGGATATACCTAGTATCTGTCTCCTGCTGGTAGTTATTCAAGCCTTTGGTCCCTGTGTTTTAAAGATACGACTAATGGGAAATCCCTGTGAATTCCAATTAGATTTTGATCATGAGCTTATGTAGTCCAACTACATCTACATCCATAAATTAGTATTAAATATATTCATTTTATAGTCAATCTCTACTTCAGTGTGGCAGGAAATCTTTCTTATAATTGAACTGAAAGACGAACGAGGAAAATTTTTGCAGCAATTTGAGATGGATGAATTCTAGAATATATCTTTATTCATGAATTTGTGATACAAAGTTTACATCAAAGTTTTAAAGATATAACTATCTGTGCAGACCATATATATGAATCAACTTTAATGCAGCATGTTACATGTGACAGAATAATGTAGTCAATCAATCACTGAGTTTATCCAGTGGTAAACAGCATTATATGTTACAGCAATGAACCACAGCTCAGTAGCCAATCAGAATGTGCTCTAGTTTACAAAGTAGAATGATAGTTTCACAAGAACTTTTTTACTTTGGTAGTTTGACTACTTATGTAGTAGCAGATAGTTTTTTTTAAGCATAAAAGAGACACCAATGACAATTCTGACATGCCAAGAAGAGGAATTTTATTTCTATAACTGAAATAGTTCATATAACCTGAGAATTGTTTTTGACAACTCCTGTATTATTTCTTATTTCACTGCAGCATCCTGATCATTACTCAAGAACCAAAAGTATAGCAGAACAAAAGGTATTAGCCACCAATGACCCAGGAGTTCTCCATACCTGTGCCCTCAGGCTGGCCGGGGTATATGGTGTGGGGGAACTTCGTCATATACCAAGGACTGTGGTAAGTGAGGGTAGATTTTGTACATTATACAAATTACAATTGATAAGAAGTTGTGAACCTTTATTAAAAAAATAAGAAAACAAAACATGGTTTCTCCCTGTGGGTTTCAAAACACAGGTAAATCAAGGAGATGTACTAGTGCATATACATGTACATACAGTTGAACTTCGGTATCTTGGACACTGATATCTCAAATACCATCCTTATGTCGAAATGATTTGGAAGTCCCAAACCTTTATTCTTTAAGTATTTTACCCTGGATATCTCGAACCCTCAGATATTTCGAAGTTTTTTCTTGGTCCTATCAAGTGAAAGATAACAAGGTTTTACTGTAATTAAAGTAACAGTTCTTAGAACTTGTTTTAAGAAAAACATATTACTAAAACCTTTAGTGGAAAGTAAAGTTGAAATTTGCAGAAATGTATTATACCCTTCCAGTGTAAGTTTTGTTATTTACCACAGGTAAATATATTTAGATTTAATTAGTAACCTTTGTTCTTTTTTTTTCCAGAACACAGTACAGATGGGAGCAATGAAGGCTCTGTTTGGTAAAGATTCTTTACAAGATTTTCTCCATGTGGACAATCTTGTTCAGGCTCATATTCTTGCAGGACAGGCATTAATGGAGTCAAAGAAATGTGTGGCTGTAAGAATTTGGTCTTTAAATATGTGATGCATGTACATACACCTATGTATACAATGTGCCATATGCATTGATTTTTGTTTTTGTTTTATAGGCTGGCCAGGCCTACTTTTTGTCAGATGGTGCTCCTATCAATACTTTTGAATTTTTCAGACCCCTGGTGAGCTATATATTTATTTTGAATGGTATAAATACATGGAAGGGAAAATTGAAAGAAAATTCCAAAATAATTAACAACTTCTACTACAGTATATACATTTTTAGCTCACCTCAACAAAGTTGGGGGAGCTTATGTAATACCCTCGGCATCGGTGTTGGTGTCGGCATCCCAGGTTAAAGTTTTTGGAGCAGTTTTCTTTTCAAGTACTTCTATGCCCTATATTAATCAGAGATGCATGGAGAATGCTTTTAGTGTGTTTCATTGTACCAGTCAAGATTTCAGATGCTGCAATTTCAGCTAAAGAATGACCAGGTTAAAGTTTTTGGAGCAGGTTAAAGTTTTTGGAGCAGGTTAAAGTTTTTGGGGCAGGTCTCATTTCCAAGTAACTATAGGCCCTATTTTGACCAAACTTGCACGGATGATACATCTAAGGATGCACACTACTGAACTTGCTTCAGATGCTGGATCTGACCTACATTTTCCAGATGAGTGACCAGATTAAAGTTTTTGGAGCAGATCTCATTTTCAAGTAACTTTAAGTCCTATGTTGACCAAACTTGCATGGATGATGCATCAAGGGATGAACACTCTCAAACTTGCTTCAGATGCTGGATTTGTCTTACATTTTCTTGTTGAGTGACTAGTTTAAAGTTTTTAGATATGTCCATTTCCAAGTAACTGCAAGCCCTATTAGACCAAACTTGCATAAATGTTGCATCTACGGATGCACATTACTAGATTATTAGTTAAGTGTGGTACTTTGCCTTACTTAGAGACAACATTCATTGAGGTGAGTTCTGTAGTCTCTGATTACCTATGTTTATCCTGATGGTAGTATTTCAATCTTTATTCAATTTGACTTAAATCATATTTGTTTTAATTCCTTATTTTCAGTTGGATGGATTGGGCTACCCACTTCCGAAAATTTATGTGCCTGTGTCTCTAGTCTATGCAGTAGGTAAGAAAATCATGGTTTGTTTAGCTTTGATGGACTCTTTGTTTTTATGCCCCTGGATCGATACATCCTGGGGGTATTTTGTTTAACTCCTGTCTGTCTGTTTGTCTGTCTGTCTGTTGTCAACTTTAACCTTGCCCATAACATTTGATTGATTGGAGCTATGACTTTTATATTTCACATGTGTATTCCTTGTGACAAGACCTTTCTTTGGGTACCATCATATTTGACCTTTTGACCTTGACCTTGGAGTTTGACCCACTTTTGCAAAATTTTATGAGACTTTAACCTTGGCCATAACTTCTGAACAGTTGGTGCTTGGGGTTTCAAACTTCACAGGTGTATTCTTTGTGACAAGGCCTTCCTTTGGATACCAACAACTTTGACCTTTTGACCTTGACCTTGGAGGTTGACCTACTTTTGAAAAACTTTAACCTTGGCCATAACTTTTGAATGGTTGATGCTAGGGCTTTCATACTTCACATATGTAATCCTTGTGACACCACCTTCCTTTGGATACCAACCACTTTGACCCTTTGACCTTGACATAGGAGTTTGACCTACTTTTTAAAAACTTTAACCTTGGCCATAACTTTTGAATGGTTGGTGCTAGGGCTTTCATACTTCACATATGTAATCCTCGTGACAAGACCTTCCTTTGGATACCAACAACTTTGATCTTGACCTTGACGTTTTACTTACTTTTAAAAAACTTTAACCTTCTCCATAACTTTTGAACAGTTGCAGCTAGGGCTTTCAAATTTCACAGGTATATTCCTCGAGACAAGACCTTTCTTTGGGTACCAACATTTTTTATCTTTTGGCCTGGATTTTGACTTGCATTTGAGAAACTTTAACCTTCGCCATAAGCTGCCATATGGGGGCATCAGTGTTTCACAAACACATCTTGTTTATCTTTAAACTGCACTGAATATTTAATTAGAATATTATAAACTCACAATGTTTCCAAAACTTCTTATCATATGTTCATTGTTCATTTTGAAAAGGGAGTGTTTGCTCATTCAGGATCACTGTTAAATATAGTTGAACCTCAGTTATCTGTAACATCGATATCTCAATTACCATGGTGTATTCTTTATTTGTATCACATTTTAGTATAATGATGAACTAACAAGGTATGATATGTATTTTTTTAAGACAGACACAGGAAAAAAAAAACTTTATTGATTGCAATTTATTTAATACATGTACCTTATTTTTTTTCAGCTTTTATCATTGAGTGGATCCACTTTTTTGTAGGCAGAGTTTACAATTTTCAACCCATACTAACAAGAACAGAGGTAAGAGATGTTTTTGTTGCAAAGCTGAAATCAATAGTTGATAGCTTCGATCTATTAAATTCATAGCTGCAGATCTGTAGCTCACTGATCTGAAAAAAATGGCGGTATTCTTCACAGTATGCAATACACATCCTTTCTCACAAAAAAATATTCTAGGAAAAAAGTGTGTATTCGACCAAATACACTTTTTAGCTCACCTGAGCTGAAAGCTCAAGTGAGCTTTTCTGATCACATTTTGTCCATAGTCCGTCTGTCCGTCCGTCTGTAAATTTTTCACATTTTCGACTTCTTCTCCAGAACCACTGGACCAATTTCAACCAAACTTGCCACAAAGCATCCTTGGGTGAGGGGGGTTCAAATGAAGGGCCACACCCTCTTCCAAGGGGAGATAATTAAGAATTGGTGAAAATTTGGTGTCTTCTTTTAAAAATCTTCTTCTCAAGAACCATTGGGCAAGAAAAGTTGAAACTTATAGGAAACCTTCATTACATAGTGTAGATTCAAGTTTGTCTAAATCATGACCCCCAGGGATAGGGTGGGGCCACAATGAGGGATCAAAGTTTTTACATAGGAATATATAGGAAAATTCTTTAAAAATCTTCTTCTCAAGAACAACAAAGCTACAATTAGTCATATTGATATGGAATCAACTTCAGGTAGTGTAGATTCAAGTTTGTTCAAATCATGACCCCCGGGGGTAGGGTGGGGCCACAATGGGGGATCAAAGTTTTACATAGGAATATATTGGAAAATTCTTTAAAAATCTTCTCAAGAACAACAAAGCCACAATCAGTCATATTGATATGAAATCATCCTCAGGTAGTGTAGATTCATGTTTGTTCAAGTCATGATCCCCCCGGGGTAGGGTTGGGCCACAATGGGGGATCAAAGTTTTGCATAGGAAAATTCTTTAAAAATCTTCTTCTTAAGAACAACAAAGCCACAATTAGTCATATTGATATGGAATCATCCTCAGGTAGTGTAGATTCAAATTTGTTCAAATCATGACCCCCGGGGGTAGGGTGGGGCCACAATGGGGGATCAAAGTTTTACATAGGAATATATAGGAAAATTCTTTAAAAATCTTCTTCTCAAGAACAAAGCCAAAATTAGTCATATTGATATGGAATCATACTCAGGTAGTGTAGATTCAAGTTTGTTCAAATCATGACCCCCAGGGGTAGGGTGGGGCCACAGTGGATGATGAAAGTTTAACATAGGAATATGTAGGAAAAAAATCTTTAAAAATCTTTTTCCAAGAAGAACAAAGCCACAATTAGTCATATTGATATGGATTCATCCTCAGGTAGTGTAAATTCAAGTTTGTTGAAATCAAGTCCCCCGGGGGTAGGGTTGGGGCAACGATAGGGGATCAAAGTTTTACATAGGAATATATAGGAAAAATCTTTTCAAGAACAGGAAAGCTATGATTAGTCATATTGATATTGAAGCATCCCCAAGTATTGTAGATTCAATTTTGTTCAAGGCATCCTCTAGTAGTAGGGTGGGGCCATAATGGGGGGGGTCAAAGTTTAACAAAAGAATATATATAAGAAAATCTTTAAAAATCTTCTTTTCAAGAACTACAAAGCCATAATTAGTCATATTGATATGGAAGCATCCTCAGGTAGTGTAGATTCAAGTTTGTTCAAATCATGACCTCCTCCTACCCCCCAGGGTAGGATGGCAGATATCTTTAAAATTCCATTTTCAAGAACAGCAAAACTATGATTATAGTTATATGAATATAGAAGCATCCTCAGAAAGTTTAGGTTCAATTTCATTCAAAACATGGCACCTGGGGATAGGGTATGCCTAGAACAGGCAATCAAAGCTTTACATATGAATATTTAGAAGAAAAAATCTGCTGACAAAGAACAGCAGGGCCAAATTGACTCAGGTGAGCATTGTGGCCCATGGGCCTCTTGTTTTTCAATGGGGGGAACTGTATCTCTCTGGTTGCCCATCCCATTTTTTCAGACCAAATTGAGCTACAGATCTGCAGCTATTAAATTCACAGTAGTTAACCTTAGTGTTTAAAATACTTTTCTTTTAGCTTTTTTTGATTATTTCCTTACTTTCTTATTTACCCTTCCTACATGTTGACTTAATGGATTACATTAAGCAAAGCAAAGCAAAATTGTCCATCCCTGGCATTTCACTATAAACTTGTTTTACTGTCAAGGGACCCACATCTTGATTTTTCCAGTAAAAAAGGATGTTATTTGCAATATTGTGTTGTTTAGTGAGCATACATGTATAAACGTTTTTTCCTCGACTTCCAGGTTTACAAATCCGGTGTCACCCACTACTTCAGCATCAAAAAAGCATCTAGAGATTTAGGATACAAGCCAACAATACAGAATGAAATTTCTGATGTTTTAGAGGAATATATTCAAAAGGGATTCAAAAAAAGGAAGAGAAAACAGTCGGCCCTTATGTACTATTTTGTCAACCTCATCATAGCTGTGATATTTGCTTCTTTTGTTTTGTCCTGGTTGCCAGGAGTAAAATAAACTTTTAAAAAATTTAATGGTTGTTATATGTGAACATCTTAACATATTGAAAGCAATTAAGGACATATGCAACGTACCTTACCTACTGATAATTTTTCAAGATATTCTTAATTTAAGATTATAGTGCCATCAGATGTTCATAGACAAAAAATCAGCATGCATTACCAGGGGTTTTGAAAAAGATATCAATTGATGAAAATTCTTGTATACTTCAAAGAAAAATATTCAAAAATTACTAAACATATATTCTAGATATTTTGTTTATCTAAACTTGTTTTAGAAGAAGTGTACAACACCATACATAGACATTAAAATGTAGCACACAGTTCCTTTAAGAATATGAACTCTTCAACTCCAGGGAAAAAGACAATAAAGTTCATACTATGTTGCGTATGTCCTTAAGGAGCAAGCAAGAAAACACAGTGTGTCTTTTTTAGGTTTCCTGAGTGACCTTTTGCTATCTGTTTTTGTCCATCGATGTTTGTCATTAGTCCTGCATCAAAATTTGAACATTTTCAACTTTTTCTCTGTAACCCTGAACCTATTTCAACCAAGTTTGGTGCATAGCATCTATGGGTGAAGGGAAACAAACATTGTAAATTTCATGGTCTCTGTCCACCTTGGACCTGAGGAGGGGGGCTAAAACCACCAACCTTAATGCAATCTTTAAAAATCTTCTTCACTCTTGGACATCAAGCAGTTAAACTGTTGGCATCATAGTTAATTATATCAAAGAGTTAAAAAAACATCAAAGTGACTGTATTACAAAAAAACAGCATAGTAGGGAACCTTATCAACTTCACTGGCCAAATGAATAGCTGAGCTAAACAAAGATTGATTGATTGATTGTTGTTTAACGTCCCTCTCGAGAATTTTTCACTCATATGGAGACCCACCACTTACCGGTGGTGAGCTGCAAATTTTGACCTATGCTCGGCACTTACGACCATTGAGCAGTGAGGGATCTTTTTCGTGCCAGCACCTACTGCGACACGGGACCTCAGTTTATACGGTCTCATCCGAAGGATCTGTCTCCACTTCCTGCAGTGGGATTCGAACCCGCGACGTAAGGATCAACTCCTTACTCTGCGACTCTAGAGCAGACTCTCTTACCACTGCGCCACGCGGGCGACGCTAAACAAAGAAGTGGTGTAAATAAACATGAAATTTCAAAATCTTCAAAGAACTTTTTCTCAAAATCAGTAAAAAACATCAAAACGTATGATTTTTCAATACTCTTTAAAACCATTCCTTTCAAAAAATCAAAGGCCAGGCTTTTTGACAGCATAAACAATTGCTTCTTCAGTAGAAATCAGAAATTTTCATATCTTGAAACTGGCAGTCTCTGAAATAAACACACTATTTCGATAAATAAGCTTAGTCAGAAACTCTAATTATGCAGTTTGGTGCCAGGCATAGTCAGATTGGCCTTTCATTGCAACGGAAGTAATTTTGCAGTCAGTTCAAAGCAATGGCTACTAAAAATTTACTTAAATCAGGCCATTGGAAAGATCTCCAGATGGAATGGGTGGTACTCTATAGCAAACAACTAGTAGAAAAGTCTTGCATGGCAAAGATAACATGTGCTGACAAGAGATTATTTATCCTTATATGGTTGAGACGTAGCGCAAAACACTTCCAACATTGAAAGGAATTCCTGGGATTCAACTAATAACAACAAAAGTTTCAATAAATAACGCAGGGAAAAGTTGCATATTTGTGTGAGCTATACCGATGATAACCCAGGGACTCAAGAGGGTAGCAAATTAAAAAATGCGTTTCCCACCAAATCAAACGCTCTTGAAACTTGTAAGCTCCCGTACAATACACTCAAGTTCAAGGACAGGGACAATTGACAAGGACAATGACAGGGACAGGGACAATACGTCACGAAAAAAGTTAATATAAAATATAACGAACTTAGATCATTCTCATCAATCCTGTAACAATAGGAAACGGGAATAGGTCAGAAACATACCTCTGGAATCACCAGAAGTGGGATCAGGTTCTTAGGGGGAGTAAGCATCCCCTGTCAACCTGTCTCATCCCCCATGAGACCTCTGTATTTATCAGGTAAAGGGAGTAATCTGAAGGCAAAATCGGTATATATAAAAACAATGATTTAACAATTTTTGTGAAACCTGTCAAAACAACACAGGTGAAAAAATGGTGAAATAAAACCAGAATCAATTCAAGAGGAGGAAGACTAAATTCCACTTCATCATGTAGGATAATTCGATGGAGAACCCTTTAAAGAATCCAGAACCAATTGAACCTCAAGACACGACTGAGTTGGATCTTTGTCTGAAGAATTAATGAATGTAGAAGAATATCAAGTCGGCGGATTCAGGTGAACGTAAGAAAAAAATCCTCCCCTGAAAATGAATGCAGATTGTTCCACCAAGATCACAGATCCATCTGAACAAAGTGGAGAAAGTAAAGAGAACTCCTTAATGACTTCAGAATCAATGAATATTTACCAACAGGAAGAGAAAAGGGAGATACAGATGATGGCAGCTTTGAAAGGATACCAGAATTGCATATATGCATGTCATCGTGTCATTTGATGAAATGCCATATATCTAGGTTCTGTTATTGATGTAGAAGAGTCGGGTGATGTGTTTTTACGTTGCATACATGAAAAAAGCACACGTCAGTTTTAATTGTCGTAATGTGATTTTTGACGATTGCTGATATAGTCTAGGTGGTGTACTTTGTGTCATTAAGGAGGTAGTTAAAGATGGATCTAAGTACCGGTATGTTGTAAAAAGTGAAAAGTGGTGGAGGATTGTACAGAGGTATGAGAAGTCAAATGAAAGTTTGCAAATGAAGAGTGCTGCTCAATGTCAGTGATGTTTCAAAGTCATTTTAAATCATGAAAGGAAAAAAAATTGGCTGAAAGATCATGTTGATCCATCTCAGTGACAACAGTTATTTAAACATTTTAAAAGTACATGTACATTTAATATTGAACCTGAATATTGATTTGAAAACAAAATGAGTAGAGCAGACACCTTTATTTCCAACATTCATTTTGTATTACTATCAAAATCACGTGTTTTAGGTTTTCCAAGAAATTAAATACAGTTATGTCAATTTGGGTCGGTACGACATTTTTTATTAGGTACTTCAATGACAAAAAGAATCCCTTTCGTTAATTATTTCAAGAGAATTATGCAAAAATACATTCGCTGATTTTTGCATAATGTTGTTTTCTCAAAACATTGTGTTGTACCATTAAAATCTTATTTAATAAAGATGCAGAAACATCTCATATTTTCACAGTCTTTGTTAAACACTGATCCTTCATGATGATTTATATGTACTTTCCATTGTATGCTAACACTTTTGACCAACACACAGAACATATCTAGTACCTAAGATATGTCTACAACATTCCAAATTCGACACCATATTGAGATTAGCTTTTTATAACGGGACAATACGGTCTGATCGTGTTATTTCTTTACATCACCAAAATAAAATAAATTATAACAAGAACTACGTATATATTTCATATTTATTAGAAAAATTGTGCAAGTATTTACAACATGTGGTAAATTTTAAAATAAACAATAAATATGTAAATTAAAACAATAAAAATAAGAAGATAATTTTTAGAATAAAATTAAAATAATAATAATAATAATAAAATCCAAGGAAATACAATTTAAAAGAAATACTTAATGTACAAGAGAAAAACATGCAAATGAGAAAGCGGGGAAAAGGTGAATGTACAAAATGCAACAAAAACGATGCAAATTTTAAAATTATATAAGAGCATGAAATGAAAAGAGTTAAATGAAGTTTAAACAATGCACAAATGAAAATAAATAAAATTTAAGTTAGGAAAAAACGTTTAGCTTTAAAAAAGGTTTCATAAATCATTGATCATTGAAACAATTGATGATAAAATGATAAAAAAAAGAAGAAGGTTCAAAGCATAAAAATAATTAAGTTCGTTGTAATACTTTTTAAAGAATCAAAATTCTAACTAAGAAAATTCAAAAATAAAATTGTACAACACATACATCCACACAAAAGAAACAAACTGAAATCTAAATATTTTATAACATGCATTTCATTTTATAATTTATAATCAAAAATATTTACACAGATTAAGGATAAACTATGTACATATATACAATTTGAAACAGTTACCTGTGCGAGAATATGTCTTAAATATACTGTGAAGAAACTTGTTTAACAACCCCACCCACCAAAATCACACACGTCATAGGTCAAATGCCAGACAAACTCTTGCACAGGCGAAAGTTCAAACATATTTATGAGGCTTACACACTCAAAGCGCAAAACCTCCTGGCCAGACTCTGAATTTCAATCTCCAATGGAGTAAACTACAAAACATTCAAGGTACTTCATGATAAACAAGAGTTTTATATATTTTAAATATATGTTAATTATAAATTGACAAATTGTTATACAGAATATGCTAAAAATATGTATGCATACCAAAGCAGACTTTAGCTTTTTTGCAGGCAAGAAACGGCAGCGTGGTCTCTTCCGTTTCCGGATAGACTGGTCCTAAAATGAGCAAAAATTATGTGATCTGAATAGACATTCATCGGAACTGGATTTTTTTTCTCATAATAAAGATGAATTTTAAAAAAAAAATGTATGGTAAATGCAAAGCATGCTGACCATAATCATTATACCTACCCTGTCACTGACAGCATTCTGTCTATTAGAAGGGGAAATGGCAGGAACCTTGACTGTCAGAGAGGAATCAGTAGTGAGAGTTTGCTGTCCATCAGAAGTAGAGTTGACAGGAGCCTTGACTGTCAGAGAGGAATCAGTAGTGACAGTTTGCTGTCCATCAGAAGTGGAGTTGACAGGAGTCTTGACTGTCAGGGAGGAGTCAGTAATGACAGCATTCTCTCTATCAGAAGGGGAAATGGCAGGAGTCTTGACTGTCAGTGAGGATGCATCCTGAGAAAACAGTATAACTGTGTGTACAAGTATTTTTTTTTTTGCTTCGTTTTTTTTTCATTGCTGC